GTTAAGTCTAATTTAACTTATTTTTAGACTTAAAATAAGTTAAAATACACTTAACATGATTCATGTAAAGTCTAATTCAACTTATTTTTAGACTTAAAATACGTTAAATTAAACATAACATGATTTAAATTAGACTTAAAAGAAATTAAATTAGACTTAAAAGAAATTAAATTAGACTTAAAAGAAATTAAATTAGACTTAATATACATTAAATTGGACTTAACATAAAATTAGACTTAAAACAAGTTGAATTAGACTTAATGTGGATTAAATTTGACTTAAAATGATTTAAATTAGACTTAACAAGATTTAAATTAGACTTAAAATAATTTAAATTGGACATAACACGAACCAAACTAGACTTAACACGAACCAAACTAGATTTAACACGAATCAAACTGGACTTAACATGAACTAAATTGGACTTAACACTAAATTGGATTAAAATTATACTTTAAAAGGAATTAAATTAGATTTATTCGGTTCATTTTAAGTCTAATTTAATTCTTTTTAAGTCAAATTTCATGCAAGTCCAATTAAATTAGACTTAAAACAAGTTGAATTAGACATAACATGATTTAAATTAGATTTAAAAGAAATTAAATTAGACTTAATATGAATCAAATTGGACTTAACATGAAATTAGATTTAAAACAAGTTGAATTAGACTTAACATGAATTAAATTAGACTTGAAACAAGTTGAATTAGACATAATATGATTTAAATTAGACTTAAAAGGAATAAAATTAGACTTAACATGAACCGAATTAGACTTAACATGAAAGTCTATTTCATGTTAAGTCTAATTTGGTTCATGTTAAGTCTAATTTAATTCGGTTCATGTTAAGTCTCGTTCAACTTGCTTTTAGACGTAATATGAAAGAATAGAGGAGGTAATGGTTGCTAAAAGAGGGCTGTAGAACATATATTTCGAATTTAAGGGTTGAACCATATTAGAAAAGGTTAAAGGGGCTGAAGCATATGAAGATTTTGCTTTTGGGGCATTGACACAATTTTCCCTTCAATTAAAGAGGGGGAAAAAGCAAAGCATGTGTGTTCCCTCTCATAGTTTAGTTTCAAGGAAATGATACCCGTGTGCTTCTAGCCTCTTCACATTCACAGAAAGACAAAAAGATGACCCAACTCACCAAAACAGAAAACTCCAAATATCCCTCTTCTTTGGCCAACAAAATGAAAGCTCCTGGTTCATCTTCTTCCTCCTTTAGTTTTTGGGACGGAACCAAAATCTCAAATCAAATCCCGTTCCACGTCATACAAACATAATTGTTATGTCCATGGTGTTTATATGCTCTAGGTTTTATAGATCTTGCATATCTGCGTGCTCATACCTTGCCATACTGTGTGTACCTTGCCTATAATTATGTGTCTTTCTAATGATCATATCTGAATACATCTGTCTTTACGAAGAACAATGCTTACATATAATATTACTTTATGGATTTGATGCTATGGAAAGATTTTGAGATTTCACTTAATGATATAGAGTTATGACTATGACATACGAAGTTGGATAGATATGAATCCCTAAATCATGTTGAATATCTGCTCATTCTTTATAATCTGGACTATGGTACTTTAAACAGTATCCTTCAATATGTAAATTAAAAAGAATGAAAAACAAGGCTTAATATATAATTCATCATGTCCTTTTTGAATGCGTAGTTTGATCCTTTTTTTATTGAGTTATCCTTGCTGGTTTGCTTTCAAACGTAACGAGCATTATGCCTGTGGTCACACAGGTGGATGTGGTCTTTTACTTTGTATATCCTATTTCTTTATTCTCTATAAGTTTCTTTTTTGGCTATGCTCATTATGAATTGTATTAAAAAAATTTAATTGTCACTTAACCCCCAATAATTTTTGATAGAAAACTTGAATAATTGTTGTTTGTAATTTTCGCTTTTTATAGTGAGCTATTTGTAATATTCAAAATTTTTAGGGGTTTTTGTTGTAATTTTGGACATTTCAAGGTCTTCTTGTAATTTTTATATTTTCAAAGGGCTTTTCTATAATTTTAGATTTTTAGGGGGTTGTTTGTAATGTTTAGTATTTTAAGGGTATTGTTGGTAATTTTCATACTTTTTAGGGATTTGTTTGTAGTTTTCAAATTTTTTAGGGAGTTGTCTATAGTTTTTGGAATCTAAAAGGGGTCGGCTGTAATTTTTAGATTTTTAGGGGGTCATTTGTAATTTCATATTTTAATGGGAATATTTCTATTTGTCTAATTTTTCAGAGGTTTTTTTGTACTTTTATAGGTTAATCTGCAAATAGGAATGATTTAAGAATGCTTTGAGAAGTACACATTGATTTTGAGAGATATCAATCTACAATTATGGGGTAACTATAAAACATCAAAACATTATGGAGGTTTCTTGAGAGTTTCTAACTTATTGGGGGTTTCAAAAAGTTTTGGAGCTTAGTACAAAAAACCAAAAATATTGGAGGTTTAGTGAAATTTAAGCTTTAAAAAATTAAGAGGGGCCACATGATAGTGTTTTGATATGTAAGGCTAATGATAAACCACCAATCTCTCTTTATATAGAATGGAACGATTGTTACTTGGTGAATTTCAAAAATTTTGGGGGTTTAGTAATAAAGCACCCAAACTTGTTGGAGGTTTAGTAAAGTTAGTCTTAAAAAATTAGGGACGAGACCTGGCAGTTTTTAGATGTATGGTTAATTTTAAACCACTAATTTCCTTTTGTATGTAAAGAAAATGAGAATGGAAATTATGATTTTTAGAATTTTTTCCAGTTATGGATAGTTATGATTTGATTAAGATTGCTAAATGTTTGATTATAATTAAAAATTTTTAATTATTGATAGATTTAATTTGATGAAGATTCTTAGGTGAATATAAGGCTAGGCGTCCATTACAAATTTACAATTATGGGGTAACACCATTATGTAGGCATCCATTACAATTATGGGGGTTTCAAAAAGTTCTGGAGCTTAGTACAAAACAACCAAAATATTAGAGGTTTAGTAAAATTTAAGCTTTAAAAAATTAAGAGGGGCCACATGACAATGTTTTGATATGTAAGGGCCGTAAGGCTAATAATAAACCACCAATCTCTCTTCATACATAAAGGAATGATTGTCACTTAGTGAATTTTAAAAATTTTGGGGGTTTAGTAATAAAACGCCCAAACTTGTTGGAGGTTTAGTAAAAGTTAGTCTTAAAAAAATTAGGGATGGACACGTGACAATTTTTTAGATGTATGGCTTAATATAAAGGAACGATTGTTGCTTAGTGAATTTCAAAAATTTTGGGGGCTTAGTAATAAAACACCCAAACTTGTTGGAGGTTTAGTAAAAGTTAGTCTTTAAACAAATAGGGACAGACACGTGGCAATTTTTTAGATGTATGGTTAATATTAAACCACTAATTTTCTTTTATATGTAAAGAAAAGGAGAATTAAAAATATGATTATTAGATTTTTTTTCTAGTTATGGATAGTTATGATTTGTTTAGGATTGCTAAATATTTGATTATAATTAGAAAATTTTAATTATGGATAGCTTTAATTTGATGGAAAATTCTTAAGTGAGTATAAGGCTAGGCGTCCATTTGCCACCTCTAATAGGAAAAGGTGTGTCCACTTGTCAATTTTTTGATAAGACCCATGTCAATTTTCTGTACGTTTAAGAGTACCGCCATTTTCTCTTTATATATAAAGGAGGGATATGGTTTCTAAGAACCCTGGTTCAGCATAAATGTGTAAAAGGTAACGAGAAATTGTTTCTATCAGTTGGCTAACTTGCAGTCCATGAGAAATTTTCTTGATCAATACCTTTTACTTTTTGATTCAGTGTTCGCTTCATCTCTGTCATCATTCCTACCTGCACAATATTTGTGGAGCGCTATTAAAAATTAGACCCTGAGCATCAAACTGTTGGAAAGCTCGTCACATTTATACTTATAATAACAGATTTTTGTAAATGTGGGTGAGAACCATAGCATTATTATATGTTTTTGGTTTCAAAATGATTATGACCACTTCCCTGATAGTTGTTAAATATCATCAAGCGCTCTTGCTTTACATATTGGGAATTATTGGTGGGTAAACCATCCTTATAACGTTTGCCTCCCGAATCCAGCTTGACATGTGGCAAGAACCTGATACTTCTGTTTCTGTTTCAATTTTTCCTTTCTGCCGCACTCAATGAATCTTGAGGCTTGCAGCGTACTTTTACACACTTTGCTGTAATATATGGGTGCATTCATCTCTATGCAACGGTTGGCTATAATATATGGATGCATTCATCTCTACGAGTCAAGTTGTGCTGTTGTAATCCCAGCTCATCAAGGCATATGTAATAGTTTTTCTAGTTCATGACCCCGTAAAACTCATTTTATTTTCTTTGCAATGTTGTCAGAATCCAGGCATTATCACAAGTCTTCATAGAGGTTTAATTGGCTAGAGAGTATGAACTGGTTCCGAATCTTAATTCTCCTGTTTTTCTTTTAAACTGCAATAATTGGCTTACAGTATGGTATGAAAAGTGGAAATATACACTTTATTAACTTAGTTTTGTAAGATATGATCTGTCACATATTCTGTACGGTAGCCTTCTATGCAGAATGCTTGATGAAACTCTGCGTTTGTATTGATATAATATTTATAGGGTAATATGTTTCATTTGTATGTAACGATCAGAATTATAAACTTCTTTGAAAATATGGTGCGTCAAATTGTATGTCAAACATTTTGCATCTGTTATAAGCTTCATTATGTTCTTCTTCATGAATAGTTAGAAAAGAAAGAAAGCTCAATGAGCTGATCTTAATAAGATTTATGATCCTTTTAGTACCCTAGTGAGTGTACTTTAGGCTTTCACATATCCTGAGCATTGTTGGTGATGTAGTTGTCTTTCCTGCATCATTTTTATTATTAATCGTGACGTCTTTTGCTTTTCCTCCACTTTTCCCATCCACTGCTTTATAGATCTTAAGCACTTGCCTTTTCTTGGACAGGTGAGATTATTTCTATCTGAGGATGCTCCGTCCCAATCTGTACTTGGAACCCAAGATCAACTTCAGGCGAAAGCTACATGGCTGTTGCATGCAGCAGGTTTATCAGATTCAGATGATTCTCTACCTCCTGGTTTTGAAGCGCCTCAGAAGTACCACCACCCTAAAATAGAAATATCTCAAATCCCCCTCATCAAGTGGCAATGCCCTCCAAGAGTAACCGACTCTCCTCTGACCTTTCAGCTGCAATTTGTCAAGCATCAGTTTTTCTAATTTTTCTTCCCTTTTGCAGTTAATCTTGAACTCAGAATGGCTGGTGGTTGCTGGAGAAGAAAGCAAAGAGGTGGCCATAGAGAATCTGAGGCAATCTGGCGTTCTTGAAGCAATCTATCCTCGTCCATCTTCAGTTCCTCTAAAGTAAGCCATCAGCATACTACCATTCATGTCTTTCTTATTTGACTTTGCGAATGCTCTAGTTCTTACTCTAAAAACCCATCCAGCCCTTTCGTCACTCCTGACATCCAAGCTACCCATTTTGATGATTCCTGCACCCCTTCCATTCCTATTACTGCGATTGAAGATGAGGATGGAGTAGAGCAATTGGATACGTCGTCTGTACCAAACAATTTACCTGCACTGTTGCATAATTTACAAAATAACGGAACCCTACAAAACTCGTTAGCAGATCTCAGATCCACTTACGAGCAATTACAATCACAGTCTAGTGCAGCATCTTCAATGCCTAATCTGCTTCGTTTGGAGCAACCACCATCGTCATCACTCACGCCGACTGCCACTGCTGCACTCCTCGCAGAACCTGATGTCTTTGCTGCTGCATCTGCTGCTTTCACAGCCATCATGAAGAGCTCCGAGGAAGGGAGCTTGATCGATCATGAATTGCTTATCAATATCTTAAGCGATCCAGTGATGGTGAAGAGGTTGGCCTCAGAGTATGGAGACTCACAACCGCAACAAACTCCACCTCCACAATCTCAGCCTGTTGTTTCCGCACAAGCTGCATATTCACGGCCACCAATTCAGTCTGTGGTTAATACACAAGCTGCACCATCACGAGCAACAACACTGCAGCCTAATGTGTCTAAATCACCAGCTATACCATCATGGTCAGCAACACCCCCGGTTGTTACTGCAACAGTTGCAGGGCCATCACGGGCCCTACCATCCCAGATGTCTGCTCCGCAATCCTCGCACGTTTTTCAGATGCCTCATCGTCCTCCTCCACCACCTCCGCATATTTTATCGACCATAGCTCCTGTGAGAGCTCCTCCTCCAGTAAGGGACGCCAACTATTACAAGAGTTTGATTCAGCTACACGGTGGAGAGAAGCAAGAAGCTCGAGAAAATCCAGTGCTCTTCGGTAGTCTTGGTAGTGGTATGGATCCAGTGGGAGCAAATCAGAGGGATCATCAGATGGGAAAGGTTTCGAAGCCGTGCGCCTACTTCAACACCCCGAGAGGGTGCAGGCATGGCTCTAGCTGCTTGTTCCAGCATGACGCTTCGTCATCGGCGCCTCAGCGGATTGAGCAGCACAACGGGACGACCAAAAGAATTAAACTAGAGGGGGGAATGTTTGGAAGGAATTGACGTCTCTGCGTTCTTCTTATTTGTTTCTTTCCTTTGTAATAATTTTTATTTACTTATTTTCTTTTCGGTAAATATTTGTCTTCGGTGCTTTTGTTCTACTTGTTTGTTATGGTTCCTCGATAATCTTGTCCTCAGTACCTTTCTTGAGAATCAAAGGTTTTGCTTTGAGCTTTATTAGTGCACGTATTTGAAGTGAAGAATCACGGAGGCAACTAGAGAATAACAAACAAGCAGGAAAAAGCATCATAAATGTTAAGGGTACTTTTCTTAACTTTATTAAATTATTAAATTGGTATTTCTTTATAATACCTTTTTATTTTATTTTTATTTTATTTTTTTTAAAAAACCCTAGCGATCACATTGGCAGAGGAAGGTTCGTCTTATTGAGTGTTTAGATCCGAGTTGTTATCGGGGTTACCAATCATAAAAGGTTAGTTATCGATTGCTATCTCCTAACATGTATTAAGGAATGATGCGATTTGAATAAATTGTCTCCCAATAAGGAAAACAGCCATACGACTAGGCCCGACTAGCGCAAGGCATGGTGCCCGAATAAAAATGAACTCAGTTGTCACTGGCCTTTTGCTGCCTATCCCAAGTCCATAAGCTGTGACGTAGTTGGTAGGCTAAGTGTGGGTGTTATGGGAAATAAATAAATATTCATCCTCTTTTTATAGGCCTGAGGAGTGCTAGCCATAGTCGCATGGGGGGCTCACGCGTGCCGTGGCTAGGACACATGTCCTTGTCCCCTTAGGGACAGGTGCGCCAACCACAATGAAAGTGAACCTCACTCCCTCTTATGGCTAGCATTGGCATGTAAACCTAAAGAAGAAACTTACAGTGGAAGAAAGCCTTTTAAGACAATGGCTATATACAATAAAACCTCCACGATGAGAAAAGTTGAACAGCTTAGTTAATATGTGGAGGAAAAGAGAAGGCGTGTTAGAGCCCTCCATAACTATCTCGGCCATTAGGACACGTGTACTTCCTTATTTGCACGTGAAAATCCCTATAAATATGTTGCCCTTAACTTAGGTGCAGGGGATTGGATCATCTTTCGCTAGGCTTGACACAACCAACCTTTAATCTATGAATCCTACTCAAAACACTAACTAGCATACATATTGCTTTGACGTTAATCATCAAGAGTCTTACTTAGGCGTCAGAGGGGCAATTGTGGACAACCACCAACGTCAAATTTGACACTCTTTTGTTCTATCTCAAGTTATCTCAAGAGCGTACCAACACCAACCATCTAAGCAAATCACAGGGCACTCTACATCGAGTCTAATATTGCAAACTCAATCTATCATGTTTTTCGTTGAATCAACAGTATGAAAAAAGAAGATTATTTTGGTCAATAGAAGAACAACATCATCATAGTAAAAATATTAGCTTGCTGCATATTGTATGAACTTAGAAGACAAATATGTTGCGCGCAGCGGAAATTTCGGCAACACTTCGGCAGCACAACAAGAGAGTCAGGTAGCAATAGAAAATCATGTTTCACAAAGGAAACAAGAACCTTAAGCAAAATATCTCAACCAAGTGAGATATTAGCTCTTCCTCTCATTAGTTCTAGGACTGACCTGTCGAGAGAACCTAAGTAAGCTATTACAAATCACACAAAAGCGAGACAACCAATTTTACGTGGTTCGACAAATTGCCTACGTCCACGGGGCAAGGAGGGGGAGATCTATTACTAGAGAAAAGAGAATACAACTAGGGTTTACAATCACTCAATCTAAACCCTCACATAATTTCTCAAATCCCTCACAAAACTCTCTCAAATGGATGCACAAAACCCTAAAAGGGACTGCTCAAAATCTCTACAATTTTCTGCAGCACGAAGCCACACGCCCACCTGCACAAAGCACGCCGCTTTTTCTTCTGCTCGCTTGCACACCCCAGCCGAAGAAAATAAAAACCAATTCCTTTGCACCCCTGCGTTTCGTACTTGCACAAGTTCAGCCAATGAAGACAGCCGCAATCAAAAAAATCCTCCTTGCACCAAGCCCTAGATGACTAATTATGTTGATATATATAGTGGTTGTGTGATTCGGGTGGGCCTGGCTGTTTCCGCGTGGGCTTCATTCACGTGGTGCCCCCCCCCCACGTTCACAATTCTCCACATCGGTGAAGTTTTCCCATAATTGAACCGCAGGGAATCAAGCCTTCACGTAGTTCACCCAAATGGCCGTCAACGGCCTCAACAATCACGAATATGCAACAAGTTTCGGTAATAATCAAACTAGTTGATCGGAACCACCTTAGTGAGCATATCCGCCGGATTATCTTTCGTGTGGACCTTCACTATCTCCACATCTCCATCTTCAAGAACATACCGAACGAAGTGATAACGAACGTCAATATGCTTCATCCTCACATGAAAAACCTGATTCTTCGTCAAATCGATAGCACTCATGCTATCACAATAAATAGTGACGGACCGCTGCGATATACCAAGTTCTTCCAAAAGTCCTTGAAGCCAAATAACCTCTTTCACATCCTCTGTAATCGCCATATACTCTGCCTCCGTCGTAGACAAAGCCACCGTCGACTGTAAGGTGCATCTTCAATATACCAACGCACGGGTCAAAGTAAACACATACCCCGTAGTAGACCGACGCTTATCCAAATCCCCGGCATAATCCGAATCAACATAGCCAATCATAACTACCCACTTGTAGTGTCATGCTCATAAACCAAACCAACATTGAGCGTACCTCGAATGTACCTCAAAATCCATCTCACGGCGTTCCAATGACCCACTCCTGGATCATGCATGTATCTCGAAACCATGCTCACCGCCTGTGACAAATCCAGCCTGTACATACCATCACATACATCAAGCTCCCAACCACGCTCTCATAGAGTCTTCGACATCAACTCTTGATCTTCAACTGTTTTCGGTGAAAGATTAGCCGAAAGCTTCAAATGGGCTCCCAATGGTACACTAACTGGCTTCGTATCTATGATAATATAAAATCATTGTAGAACCTTCTTCAAATAAGCCACATGTGTCAAACAAATTCTGCCTTTCTTCTTGTCTCTGTCGATCTCCATCCCTAAAATGTGCTTCGTCTCACCCAAATCTTTTATCTCAAACTCCTTTGAAAGCTGTTCCTTCAACTCATTTATAGCAGATCTGGAAATAGAGGCAACCAACATGTCATCGATATAAAGTAACAAATAGATGTACGCACCTCCTTTTAACTTGTAAAAATATACTCAATGATCAAACTGGCTCTAAGTGTACGAATGACCAATCATAAAACCATCAAATCGTCTATACCATTGTCGAGAAGACTGCTTCAAACCGTATAGCGATTTCTTTAATTTGCAAACTAATTTTTCCTTCCCTGCAGCTCGGAATCCCAATGACTGAGTCATATATATTTCTTCATCAAGATCACCATGAAGAAACATGGTCTTCACATCTAACTGATCTAACTCCAAACCATATTGTGCCACCAAAGCTAGCAAAATGCGAATTGAAGAATGCTTTACCACCAGAGAGAAAACCTCATTATAATCTATTTCTTCCTCCTGTGCATAGCCCTTCACAACCAACCTAGCTTTGAACCTCAATGGAGTGCCCTCAATGCCCTCTTTCTTCGTGTATACCCACTTGCAACCAATTGCCTTCCGCCCCTTTGGAAGCTCAATAAGCTCCCATGTATCGTTCTTATGAACATACTTCATCTCCTCCTGCATAGCTACCTGTCACGAATCAGCCTCCGAACTCTGCTCGGCCTCTCTGAATGTAGTAGGCACCATCTCATCGATACTCTTCATCAGAAGTGCATATGCAACTGTGTCGGCATACCGTGTTGGAATCCGTATGTCTCTCCTCTGTCTCCGAACTACAATAGAATCCTGAACCTGAACCGTCGGTTCCTAATCCTGCATATCAGTACCTGTATCCTCCGTATCACCATCGTGCTTGCCTGACGTCACCTCAATCGGCACTCTAATGGATACTACACCATCTGGACACTGTGGAGCTGCATCGATCTCCACCACCTGCGATATCTCCTCTGTTGGGTCGCTCTCCACCTGATGAGAGCTGGAAAGCTTCAAGATAGAAGCCTCATCGAACGTGACGTCCCTACTCAGTATAATCTTTCTATCAACTGGATCCCATAGCTTGTATCCCTTGACACCACTCTTGAATCCTATAAATATGGCCTTCCCAGCTCGAGGTTCTAATTTATCTGTTCTCACATGATAAAATACAGGGCATCCGAATACCTTGAGCTGGTAATAATCTCGTGCTGGCTCTCCCGACCACTTCTCCATAGGGGTTTTCCCCTCAACTGTAGATGAATGCAGCCTATTAATGAGGTGGCTCGCATATGTAAGTGCCTCAGTCCAAAAGATCTTCTCCAAACCACTTTACGACAATAAACATCGGACCTTCTCCAAAAAAGACTGATTTAGCCTCTCTGCCACCCTATTTTGCTACGGTATATGACTAACCATGAAGTGTCTCTCTATACCCTCGTCTTGACATAACTACAGAAAGGGGTCTGATGTGTATTCACCATCGTTGTCGGATCGCAACGTCTTGATCTTTCTCCCAGTCTGCAGTTCTAATCTCTTCTTCCACTCCACGAATATATCTAGGACTTCACTCTTCTTTATCATGGTGTACACCCAACATCGCCTAGAATAGTCATCAACGAACGTGACGAACCAATGTCAACTACCAAGTGATGTAGTCTTAGTAGGATCCTAAACATCTGTGTGCACGTAGTCCAGGATGCCCCTCGTCCTATGAATAGCAGTCCCAAACTTCACATTCGTTTTCTTGCCAAGAACACAGTGCTCACAGAACTCAATTTTTCCACTCTTGGCTCCCTTCAATAGCCCCTGCTTTCACAAAGCTTGTAGTGACTTCTTTCCTGTGTGTCCCAACCTATAATGCCAAAGCCTGCTCATGTCCATCTCTGAAATAGCCGAAGCAACATGGCCAATCTCGATGCTCCCCTTCAGATAGTATAAGTTCTGACTGCAGACTCCTTTTATCACTACCAAAGATTCCTTAGTAACCTTTGCTACAGCGTCTTCAAAAGTCACCTTGAATCCCTTTGCCTCCAAAGCTCCAACTGAGATAAGATTCTTCATCAGCCGAGGAACGAATTTCACCTCCTTTAATTCACGAACTACTC